ATCCCCATCCCGAACTAGGCATCTCCAAATTTTATTCCCTACGACCAAAATGGGTAAAAAAAAAAAGTCCCGAGCACGAGGTGTGCGCATGCATATATTGCGTCAATTTTCAGTTGCTTTTAACGGCAATAACAAATGCCCCAAAGAAGACATTTACTGAAGACGACCTCAAGCGCATCTACCTCTTCTCCGCTCCACAAAACGATTGCTTTCTGCGCCATTGCGAAAAGTGCCCAAAAACGCAGATCATCTCGCTGCAGTCGCTTCATCTCGACGAAGACGAAGAGATCTGTTTCGCGTTAAGGGATGCTGGCGAACTCGTCAAAAAGGCTATGGACACTTCTGCCTTCCTGCGGCAATAGGAGAGCGAAAAGTATATGAGGCATTCTTACATCCTTGACCTTGAACGAAGCCTGATACATGACACAAGAACCGCCTTACCACCCAAGGCAGTGATGTTCCACTTCGATTTTGCGGAAAAATGGACAGTACTCTTTCGAACCGAAGTGCAGAGTTTTCATTGAAAAAAAACTCAAGTGTCTCTCTCCACAAGTGTGGTTACGTCCACGCAAGGCTCGCAAAGCTTTGCCGTTGTCACCGATGGTACACGACACACGACACAGCTCACGCTCTTCTCGCCACATAGGCCATAAAAGAGTATGTTAATGTTCATTTCCCAGTCTTTTTTTTTTTTTTAATAATTTTTGTATCAGACGGAGCGGCGGCGCATTTCAAGAATCGCTTCCAATTCCACGAACTGTCTCGGAAGCCGCACTCTTCGGCAAGATGGATCTTTTCAGCCACTGGACACGGAGAAAGCGCTTGTGATGAAGTAGGTGGAAGAACCAACGCTCACCAAGTTGAGATCTTCGCTCAAGTCAATGATTGCCACCGCTAAAGACTTTGTGGAAGTGCTACGTAAAAAAGTAACAAATGTCTGCATGTTCCACCTGTCTGTGGAACGGGTTCGAGAGTTTCGTGCGGTAAAGCAAGCAGAGTGGACCACCATAAAACCTGTTAGAGGAATCCAGGCTTCTCATCTGTGGAAGTCATCATATGCCGAGAGGCCGGATGTATACATGGCCACTCGCATAACTGAGAGTTTTAAGCTTATCTATGCATAGTTAGCGAATTCGCACAGTGGGGCCGTTTTGTTCCTGTGAATTGTAAGCTAATTAATGGTATCCCAGCTCAAAGTCCATTTTCGCGTCACTAATACTCAGCCCTTATGAAAAAAAGAATTTTAATAATATAAAATACATGCCATAACTAACGCTCAAAACGTTTGGTGCTGTGCGGCAAAGCCGCCTTGACGAAGACGTCGGCTCGCTCCGAGTGAAGGTTTGTCGTAGCTTTTCCCGCTTGGAGGTCATATGTTACTCAATCTTTTGCCATCACAGGTTAGTTCAAGTCACTGTAAAGTGCCACGGGGAGTTAAAAAAAAATAAATAAAAGATGGAGACTAAACAGCTGGTAAGCTTCCTTAATAGAGCGGGTCATAAACCTTTTTACGACTTTGAACATGTCGTTGATCATGGCTTTGACGACGTCGTTTCTGTTGGGGCTTTGAACAGAGCATGCGAGGTCGTCGCGTGTGTAGTACTCAATTGCAACCCTCACGTCTTCGGCATTCGCCTTTTTCCCCATGTAGGGATCAGGGTTTGCCCAAACACCACCTTTGCGCTTCAGTTTTCATGTTCGATCAATCATGTAGGCAGTCGCTTCCGACACCAGACGCAATATTTTTTTCTTCAGGATGATTGGTGGCAGAAGCATGTACAATCGCTTGCGTTCCTGGTGGGAACTACATGCCTTCAGCACTTCGCAAAACGCGTCAAACCACTCTGCGCAGTGCTCACAACTGTCTTCGAGTTCGAGAGTTTCGTGCGGTGAAGCAAGCAAAGTGGACCACCGCAAAACCTGTCAAAGGAATCCAGGCAACTCATCTGTGAAAGTCATCATATGCCGAGAGGCCAGATGTATACATGGCCATTCGCACAACTGAGAGTTTTAAGCTTATGTATGATGTATAGGTATAGCGAATTTGCAGAGTGGGGCCGTTTTATTCCTGTGAATTGTAAGCTAATTAATGGTATTCCAGCTCAAAGTTCCTTTTCACGTCACTAATACTCACCGCTTATAAAAAAAGAATTTTAATAATATAAAATACATGCCATAACTAACGCTCAAAACGTTTGGTGCTGTGCGGCAAAGCCGCTATGACGAGGACGTCGGCTCGCTCCGAGTGAAGGTTTGTCGTAGCTTTTCCCGCTTGGAGGTCATATGTTACTCAATCTTTTGCCATCACAGGTTAGTTCACGTCACTGTAAAGTGCCAAGGGGAGTTTAAAGAAAATAAAAGATAGAGTTTTTTTTAATATCGACGCCCAATCTTGCCACATTTTGAGACATCAGCAGCATTTCCGCGTTAATAACAAGAAGACAATTAAGGGTGGGCATATAATTTTTACATATCCGTAAAGAATATTTAAATACGCGCATTTTGATATGTTTTGGGAAGTATTATGAAAGATGGTTTATTTGCAAAAAAATTGTGAATATTCGAAAAAAAGAAAACTCAAACCAAAAGTTTAGAAACAGCAGTTCCCAACGTTTCGGGGTCGACTTGACTCCTTCTTCAGGGGTGACTAAAAATGGAATTGGACAGCGCGAGCTTCGACCTCTCCTTCTTCTTCTACCGAGGTGATGTTTTCTCAACGTGACGCAGGCCATGGACGTAAATAGATGGTAAGGCCCCGAGGGACCTGTTAATGTTCCCCGGTGTATTCTGGATGTGCCACGACTCCAAGAACAGGCGTCTTCGAATGTGTGGCTCCGTGTCTATCACATGTCTATCACGCGATCGAAATTGCGCACATCGTTCTGGTGCTGGCGCATGCGTTCGGGAAAAGATATTTTTGTTTGCATAGAAATATTTTATTGATATTTTTAATTTTTTATGTGTTGTATAACCTTTGTAAAACCTATTAAAAAAGTTATGGTGCCGTGAAAGGTTCGATAAGGAAATGACGACTGTGCAAAATAGCATTGTGAAATCTTCTCAATTTCCACGCCTCGAGTTTCTCTATTTTATATCTCAGCGAAAAAAATTGTTACGGCGTTCATATCTAGCTGAATGTTCCTCCCAAAAACATGGCTTTCATATATATTTTTAACAAAAATATCTAAATTATGACCCGGACCATCATTGCATGAATTGACGTGGAATCACCCTACAGTCCGGCGCGGTGGCACCCTTCACCTGAAATGGTTCGAAGAGCGAGGGTGAGACGGGCCGGGGAGGAGGAAGCAGACGGAACGCTAAAGAGAGTTTAGTAAGGTACGTTGTTGGGCTAGTTGGTTCATCTTAGTAAAACATATAAAATAGCGCAACAGAAACAAGGACAAGAAACAAGGACAAGAATAGCGCCTGTCCTGTTTACTTCTTGTCCTTGTTTCTGTTGCGCTATTTTATATGTTTTACTAGGAACGCTAAAGAGAGAAGGAGGTTTCCCCCTCTCTTCTCCAGCGCTCCGTCTGCTTCCCCCTCGGCCTTCGTTCTTACCCTCGCCCTTCGTTCTAAGGTTGCAACGGACTATAAACAATTTTAGTATTCTAGCTTTATTTTTGCGAGTGGAAGTAAAGGTATTTTGCTTTATTTTGATTAGAAAAATGTACCGGAAAGTAAAGCATCACACTCCATCTCTTTTCTCGAATCACTAGTGATACCTCTTTCTATGCTGCATGTATGTAAAATTCTGTATATAGTTTCTCCTCACTTTTACTGTGTGACCGATTGCTCTAGTTTTCAATGACCTCATTTGAATAAAAATGCATAAGTCACTTCTCGCATGGGGCACTGCTAAGTGTAGGCTTTGAAAAAGAACCCCACTTTTGGGGGGTTATATATTCTTGCTCAATAAAATAATGCAACATGTTTTTAATAGAAATGAATGCCAAAATAGCGTATAACAGGGTACCCAGATTTAAGAAAAATCAAAGGCGTTTTTTTTTTATTCGCATCGAAATTTTTTGTTTGATTTCTTCCCGATCTTTGCCTAAATATATCACGACTATCGTATCACTCAGATACTTATGTCTTTAAATAATTGCCATATATAAGTAAATACTACCTGAAAAGTATATGATTGTGATTAAATTATTTTATGAGAAACAGGCCTCCGAATTTTGCCATTTGTCGTTCGAGCAGGCAAGTTTGGCAATTTTTACAAAAATAAATATGATTTCAATAAATATTATTACTATATATCCCCCCCTGTAAACCGTCCCCTCCAGGCCGTCGCGCCATCCTTATCTTAATAAAGTGTAGCAACAATTACCAGCAAGCAAGCAAGCCAGTTTGTTTATAAAAAGTATTAGAATCTTCCCAAGTTTATCATTTTAGCTATTCAATTTCAAACATGCCCCCTCTTCATGCCTTACACATTTTCCTGTACCCAATTTTTTTTTATTCTTTTTTTAAACTAAGCGTGTATTCGGTTATACAAGACACTAGACAATGACATATAAAAACATCAGTTGATTTAAAAATGTCGACCACCCACCCTTTGGTCGATCTTATCTGAAATCACCCAGCAAGATGTCGCAGGGTAAACTCTTGGGCGCAGCTTGGCACAAATGGCGCAGCAATCACATCACTGGTGGTGAACAGCGCCTCATATCGTCGCGTCCCCTGCAAGAGCGAGGTTCGCTTCTACCGCAATAGTTAAAGAAAAAAATCTGTCTGCTGAGATATCTCCACTCCGCGAGCGGAGCCGAAAGGAATGCCAGGAACTACCTGTACACAACCTGGGCAAAGAGGAAGACTTAGGATTTGGGTGAAGCCAACATTGGGGATAAAACCTTAGGCCTGCAGCCCAGGCTTCTATCTAAATCAGAATAATTTCAGCTTTTCGTGGTGTTCCCTGCGAGTTTCGTGGAAGGGCTCAAGCTCTAGCTATGAAACAAGACACGAAAAGGCAGTGTTGAAAAGACGGGTTATATATGTGAATACTCAAATTTTATTGCATAGACTCACATTCGTTTTTGGTTTTCCTCTTTGCATCAAATAGTGACACGCAACATACAAACAACACGTCAAAATAAATAATCTTTCGTAACACAGAGCACGTAAAAAATGCACTCCACAGAAAAGCGTTCTTTTTCGCATTCAGACGTTTTCTTTTGCATGACCCTGGATCTAAAGATGCCCGCCCTCGAATGGGTGCAGAACTCCATTCCCGGTGGTTGGCCTCTAAACTCAAACACATAATCGTACATCCACAGATTCTTCAAACTTCCATAGCAGCTGCTATCCTCAAATTACACACAACATGCATACACAGGGGGCTGTCACATCAAGAAGTCTTTTCTAGCACTGGCTCACAACATCACAAAGAATCAAACACCCTTGCCAGAGAGGTGTGGTGTCCATTCGAAACGCATCTTGGGAATTTCACTTGGTAGGTTTGAACTAGTTTCGCCGTGCAGTTTTCTCGCTATTCCGACGTGCTTGCAAGCATGAACTGGCATTTAGTGCCGTAAAAGCGCTATCTCAGAGAGCCCTTTCAGATCGCTCCAAATTCACCAGTGGATTCCACCCTTGGGTCATTTAGCTTTTAGTCTAAAAAAAGCACAGGTTGACTTCTTTTCTGTGTCCAAATTTGTGGCTTATGCTTCTGGCATACCAAACAGTAGTGCAGGAGGTGTCGCATTCACACATTACGTTGAGGGAAATAATGTGCACGTCAGGGGCAACCAGCAATTGCATACACCGCCGAAAAACGGTACGCCTTAGAAACGTCCAGTGTGACACAGCACGACAGTTCAATCCCGCGGAAAAGGTCCGACACTTGACAACGCCTCATTTTCTCTGACATACACACGCAATGCGGACTCTGTTGCAGTGAGCGTGCAGGTCTGTTTTTCACATATTCTATACATACATCCCAACTGCAGACAGCAATCTTACACCGGGTTGGTTATGCGAGCTACAAACTCAGTTGTCAGACGCAAGGTGGGACTAACGAGTCAAGCAACTTCACTCAATGCAGCCTCCTTTGGTCTTTTCATACTCTCACATTTTATGTTCGGTATCAACAGCTTTTGCACGCGTCTTTCGATGCCCGACACGGTCATAAGCATATCTAAAATACATGCTTGCTCAAAAACAAAAAGAGAAAAGATTGGTTAATTAAGTCACAAGTGTCGTGGACGCAAGGATTCGTAGCATCGACTTTCTTCGCCACTCCTATGACGCGGCTAGACAGGCTACAACTTGCCAAGTAACAAAATAAACGCCTCCAATATGCACCTGTACTGATTCGCAAGAACAAAGACATACTTTGAACAGAAGTTGAGTGAAAAATATTTGGAGCTGTCTGTGAGGGCATTATAGCTCTCCCTAGTTCACTTGAGCAGTGTAGGCAGTTTCAAAAAGGGGGGGCCTTTGAACGGTGACCCTGCAAAACAAGATCTCGTTAATCTCTTGACGAGCGCCGTGCACTTGAAAAATGCAGACCAGACGATCCCCTGTTTTCAAAGGTCCATCAGAGTTTCAGAAAGGAGAGTAATTATTAAAAAGTAAAATCTACACACTATAGACTTTACAAGCAATAGATGCATCATTTCCTTTTTCCCCACTACTTGTCCTACGTTGCGATGGCGATTCTCGTATTAAAATAGGTGCTTCCCATCCAAATGTTGTCTTCGTTTCTTTTTCTCCCCAGATTGCAATAATCATGGCTTCTTAAAATTTTCACAACTTCCCGAACCATCTATAGGCCTCTTGTAGTGTAAAGAGAGTACTTTGAAGTCTCAAAAGCCTCAGACGCATTGCTCCCACGCTCATCTATATAAATGCTATGGGTCCAAAAACAAACCAACGGAGGGCACTACTACACCCAGAAGGGTTCCACTTAAGTGGGTTCTAGAAGCCCCCCGGGTCCTAAACAATGCAAGAACTGCCTACCGAACAAAAAGAACCGACAGAGCGACAAGCTTCTTGAAAGCAAACTCGGCAGTGCTGAGATACTCCACGTCTGGCTCCACACAAAAGAGCATTTTATATCCAACAGATCAATGAGACGAAATCTGAGGCACGAGTTAGGAAGACATTGTGTGGTGTTAACTCGCCTCGACTCGCAAAAGGGTGCCTTCCCAATCCAAACAAAACGGCGCATTGCGGGCTTAAAAGGAAAAAAAGGAGGGACTTCTCGCAACAGTGTCGCACACTAACGGTTATTCGGTGTAAAACTGCATGTCTCAACTTCTATGTTGTGTTGTGTCTGGTGTGATGACTATAAACTCGCTCCTGAACATTTGGTTTCACTCTTTCATACACTCGGAACATCAGAAGACGACACTTAAACCGCATTACACATGAGCGGGCGCAAGGTCATTGCTCGAAGGCAACTAATCGAAGCACAGTTCAGCAAACAAATGCAGCTAACACAGGACGAGTGAAGCTGACCAAATGTGATTTTACTCTGGCAAAGGAAAAAAAAAATAAAAGAAAGGACAGAGTGTGGAGCACTCTACAACTTATGTACATTAACCATGTTCATTAACCATGTTCTCTGGAACCTAGAGTTTGTTAAATAAAATATGTAGTTACAAACTAAAAGGACATGACTCATGGGTACCACAGTTACAATGTATGTGTATGTACAGTGTGGTGGTGTAATAACTGTACTGTGTTAGGAACACTCAAAAAAGCAGCAAAGGAAAAAAAAAGGGGGGGGGGGGGAAGAAAAACATTTAAAAACGTCACCTTCAAAAACAGAGAAACCTGTGCATAGTATTCTTCTCTCCTTTCCGCCTGTCCCCCCCAACAGACGACAAAGTGCAACAACACTATGCAAGTCGGCGCCTTTTATGTACAGTGTCGCCCTTCACAAAGAAATGTACAATAACTGATATGGTGGTTTTGGGGAGAGAGCGGTGCATCAGTATACTGGGTACAGCCACACTTAAATAATATGAACGCACGCTACCCGCACAAAAAGAATGTTAGCGAGGTTTTGCGTTTCCTGAGAAAACTTGCATATGCGCAGACACACACACACACACACACACAAAAAAAAAAAAGAGAATTAAACAAAGTAACGTGCGGAGAGCAACTTTACCACTTGAAAAGCTGCCCAAAAAACAAGCGAGGTCCGCTGTTGTTTTTTTTTTTCCTCTCAACAATGGCGCAATGTTGGCAACAAAGTGAAACCCCCAGACCATGACAGTGAAACACCCATTCAAAAGGCGTGTCCTAAAAAAAATGATAATAATAATAATAAACTACCCCATAAAAAGAAATATATAAATAAACGGACATTCATTAGACAAGCACAAAGAAAATCACCGAACAACGATAACAATTTGGCATACCGGGTGCATATGCCGGAACCTAAATAAAATTTAGTTTTTGGAAGACCGACAAAGTTTGGGTCGGCCTTCGAAGAAAGTTTGGTCAGAAAAGAAATTAAAAAAAAAAAAAGACAGTTTTTTTTTATGGGCAGCTTGACCTTTGCACGTCCCTCCCCTTTCGCCCTCTCTAAAAGCGCAAAACCTTGCCTAAAATAATTTACACGAGCCACCCAACATGACGGAGACAAAAGGGACGCGATCCACGCGCACCGAAGGGAACAAGTCGCAAAGCAAGTGGTCGACGGGAAGCGTCGAAACCGAGACAGGGAGGGAAGGAGGGGAACTCAAGAACACCGCTGGCAGGGAGCTGGCAGTCAATTCAGTCGGTCTGTCTGTCCATCACCGTGTCCAGTGGTCGCACTGCGACCGAAGGCAATGAAGACGGTCTCTTTCCCAAGCGCGGAGAAGGCCGGAAGTGGGTCCTGGTTCGAGGCTCTGCAGAGTTGTCGCACCACCACGCACCGCCGCGCACGCGCATCTCCCGTCCAGCATTGCAATAAATTAGTGGTAAATTAGGGTCTAGTCCCGCCGGGAAACGTGCGGCTTGTTCGGAGCAGACGAAACAGCTTGAAGGGCCGTTTCTCCGGAAGGGGAGTAAAGTGGAGGAAGGGGAGTAACCGAGAAGGGAGTAACTTGGGGGAGTCCTTCTAGGGCGGGAGCCCGCCGTTAAGCGAGCGAGCCGGGGGTGGAAGAACACGGGGGCGTGGTTCTCCGCCTTGGTTGGTGCACCAGGAAGTGCGTGAGCTTGGTGGGCAGGTAGCTCAGGTTGAGCTGGTAGAACTCCACCAGCTGCAGGAGGTCGTAGAATTTGGTGCGCCCGGAGTCGAGGGAGTAGCACAGCTGGTCCTTCTCCTCCACCTGCCACGAATAAAAAAAAAAAAGAAACGGCTCGCCTTAGACAAAACAATGAGTCGTGCAGCGAGTCCACATAAGAAAAGGTAATCGGAGCAACCTTAAGACCCGTTCTCACACTTGGGTTTGCTTATGACAGGGTTCTTGCAATTTCTTTCGAAGAAAGAATGCACTGGGCACGCCGGCAACACCTATGAGGTGACCCTAAGACTGCCATTTCACTATGCTCCATTCACCCCTAAGCTGACAGTGCAGTGGAAGCTGCGTGCTCGTTGGAACGGCCTTACGTCTATCTTTAGCCACGTGATCCCGCTCCTGTCTATACCCATGCGCGGAGAGTGGGGTCAGGTGAAGAAAGGGAGGCGGTCAATTGGTCTGGTGAGTATGTAGCTACCACCGCACTGTCAGCTTAGGGATTGACGGAGTCTAGAGTGAAAGTTTTGCACTATTTGCAAGATCAAATGTACATACAATCTACGAGAAATGGTCGTTTGTATTCTCGTCAAAAGTTTTTCGAAACAAAAAAAAAGGAATGAAGCATGAAAAAAAAAAAAAAAGAGGAAATGTACTCATTAAATGCAAAGCGTTCCACGGCTAACTCCTATATGATGCAACTGTGCTCTCTCGTCATCATCATCATCATCGTAAGAGATCCGAACAGGTTTTAAGGCAGTCGGTCCTAAGCAGTTTATCGTGTGAACAAGCCTCAAGTCCCAAGCGTAGCTGATGCTACGATCCGACGAAGCCGACAAAGTGGCACCAAAAGTGCATCGTCACAGTGTTTGTCATCTTTGTGCATTTGCTACCATTGGCTGAATCAATTGCGCACAGAGCAAAGCGTAGGATCGTGGCTGTGTGCATTTGGTTTGGCCGGAGTACCCCCCATGTCGGCAGTGCATGCAACCGCTTCACTGCACCACCCCGATGGTCCAGAATTCTTCCGTCAGAACAGATTTGTTCTCGCAAATACTGCAAAACCTTTGGTCTAGTTATATGCAGATTGCACTTTAGAACCACAGCCTTTAGAACCAAAGCTAGAGCGCCAAATTTTCCCGCCGAAGAGAGGGGAACCGGTAGAACCCCACTGAAGAAGCGGGACCCACCGAGATAATCTGGACATGGTGGACGGTGCCACGAAAGGCGTAGGAGAGCACGAAGGTGCCGGGCTTGCTAAGGCTCTGGCGCACCAGGAAGACCCCGTCCACAGTGCCGTGCCGCAGAAGCAGTTGCGTCGCCTCCTCCCGGGACATGCCGCTGTAGAACCACGGCTGCGTGTGCTGCAGCCCCAGCTCGGGCACGGGCGGCGGAACCCCGGAGCTGGGTGGGCTCTGGCCGCCACCTGTTGTGGGGGATGCCTGGCCCGACCGGCAGCACGGGAGCTTCCTCTACACGTGGGAAGAGATGCGGAAACAAACGTCAGGCTCCCGCAGCTTCCTATTGGGCAGGAGATCGAACTATAGGGGGCACTCTGACCCGTTTGTTTTCCCCACGCTCGGTGTTTACTCAACGCAAGGCCTGTACACATGCCAACAGGCCTTATGGGCATGGCCATGTCATCTTCTACAATAGAGCGCGGGGCACAGTTTAATGTAAAAAATACTAACAATCGACGAAGCGACGTTAAGTGCCGGATCTATCTTCTGAGAATGCGAGCTTGACCCACTTTGGCTTTTGTGCTAAGCTGGGCACCGTGCATGCTGCATTGTTCATGCAGGCCGTCGTGGAAACAAAAGAGCCCCTCCTCCCCCTCGCCGGAGAACACGAACTCCAGTCGAACGCTGACGCCGCGTTCGGTTATGTCGGCCGAGCGCTGCGTTATTGTATTTGTTGTCCCCATCCGTGTAGTTGATAAGTTAACCGCTTGGGGCGTCACGGTCTGTCCTCCTCCCCAATAGCTGGTCCCAATAGATTGATCCCACCAAGCGTTCGGCACATGCGTGACGCCGCCATAACTTTAGTTCGCAGGAGACAGGCAGCGGTGCACGAGATGGCTCGTGCCGCCTCATGCTCTTCATGTGCAGAGCTCCAGCCAGGTTGTCGCACGTGCAGAAAGACTAAAGTTCCCTCGATGAATTGCGGCAGTGGCGGTGTAACCAAACTGGCTGGTGAGATCAGTCTATTTTCGAGGGAAAATGCGGCACGGTTTTTAGACGCGGCCAAACGATGCTTGCAACGAGACCGATGCGTGGCAACTACGGAACAGACAACATTTTTTTGTTTTTCTTTGTCTAGAATTTGCTTGCAAGGTATAGTTAACTAAATCCTGACTTGTCTAAAGAAGCACCAAAAGCGGTTTTTGAGAAGGTCTTTATTATGATGCAAGCTGCGTGCCCCAAAGCATTTAAGAAAACTCAATACCACAATCGTGCACAACCTTTTTCCCCATTAAAAATGTGACCAAACATTGCAAAGTGCCCCTCTTTTTAAGATGTACCTTGAAAAAGAGTTGTACTGTGATATTTGGTTGCATTTTTGGAAGGAAAAAAGGTCATGCGTGATTGTAATTTTGGCTTGGATGCTTGAGACGTGTAAATTGAATCAGCGTCATAAAAAGATGGTATCAAAAACCGCTTTTGTGGCCCTTTAATCAGCCTTTAACAGCTTGACAGACAAATGGGCACTGTCGGTCGTTTATGGTGCCACAAACAAAGAAGCCTAGTCTGTAGCCGGATTTAAAAGCGACTAGGGGCAAAAGCACTGTTGGGAACGACATTACATTGAACCTAAAGTATTACATTAAGTGGGTTTAGAAAACTTGTATTTTACTTGAAGTACATGCTCCGAGTATGTGATTGCACTTCACTTAAAGTATTTTTTGTGGTACTTTCCGAGGAAAGTACAGCTCCCGACTTCAAATGCATTTCCCAAATTTGAAAACAAAAAAATGCCATATCGTCATGTGAAAACGCGCCATCGTCTTTCGCAATGTCATCTGGTCTGGTAATGGCGGCAATAAGACCGATACAAAGAAGTGCCTTATAAGTGGATAGTTCGTCATTGAGAGTAAAACAACTACGCTGTGGCTGCTTGACTTTTTTTAATATTCACTGCCATTTCCGAAAATACCTGATGCACCCCCGATTACTCCTAAAGCACTGCACACCAGTTGAAAAAAAAAAAAAAAAAAAAAAAAACTGCATAGAGGAATGAAAGGCCTGAAAGGACACTACGCAAAATTGTGTTAAAAAGTATTTCTACTTCACTCTGAGAGTACATTGTATTTATAGTACTTTACTTCAAGTACATTGTGCCCAGTTTACTTATTACTACTTTACTTGAAGTTTATAGCCTCTAATATACTTTGTACTTTACTTTAAAGGGATGCTGAACCAGTGGCAGATTAAGAGGGAAGATCCAGATGTTTTGACCCCTTTTTTTAATTGCTCCATATGTAAACTTTTGGGAGGCGAAACAGGGGAGGGGGGGCAGGGGAAAGGGGGGGGGGGGTCTGAAACATGATAAGCTAACCACCCTTGGAAATTCCTGCGTCCGTCCCTGTGCTGAACCGAAATTTGGATTTCACGAAATAAGGCCACAGAAGCGTTGAACGGGACGCTACGAACTCCAAAACATCACTCATACATCAATATCTCAAACGGGTGGGCGTATGCTTGGAAAATAAGGGAGCGATCAAGCAAGGACTGTGACGTTACGATTCTCCTGGAACATTTGAGAATGACGGAAAGCGGCTTCGCTTCTCGCCCCCCCCCCCCCCCCCCCCCCCATTCTCAAAACTTCCTTGTCGGTTGGGCCCGCCGCATTTGATCCGTTCTCGTTACATCCTTCACGTTTCGCACTCCAAGAAAAAAAAACAGAATGGGGGCACTTTGTGGTGTCGGTGTTATGGCTGAGTCACTGCATATCCCCAAAGAAGCTTCTTCAAGTCTGCCCCTCCCAACTCACCTATAAGCAAGTGCTCATATACAAACGCACACATGCTAATTACTCCCGCGGTTTGGCTAATAGTTCCTGGAACACGTTCGTTCTGCTCTTGAAACATGCAGCAAAGGTTCGGGACCCACTCGTTGGGTTGTCCGGAAGTGGTAGCAGGCGCTAGGCAATAAAATACCGAACTGCTCTTTTGTGGCAAAGCACGGCTTTGTAGGTCTGGCTTTTGCCAGGTCATGGGAGGGTGCTCTCAAAGTGGTTCAACCCCCCCCCCCCCCCCCCCACGTGCACGCACACACACACACACACTCTCTGTACACTCTTTTTCCTTAAAGAGGACTGCAGCATACTCTACGAGACGGTGGAGCCAATCCAGGGCTGAAAACATACCATGCGGCATTCGATTCTAGTGCGAACGGGACCAAATGCGGATAGGGACAAATGAGGAAAAAAAAAATGGTTTGGATGTTCTGAGAAGGTTCAAATGAGAAGGTCCAAACGAGAATGAAACGAAACGAGAACGGGCGAAATGCAAACGGGACGTTTTGAGACACACCCCTTCACCCAACACACGGCGAAAGAGGGAGAGAACGGACAGTTGCCAGGCCAGTCCTACCCGTATAAGATTTAATTTCTCCACGTCCGCATTGCCACCTCGGATCGAGAAACATTCAGTACAAAGGGAAAACACTGTCTTGCTATCGCCATGCAACCACAAGTGTTCCTGTTATAATAGCGACTGTCGCTCATTTTCGTCTTGCCTCTTTTACATTTTATTTTCTTGTTCCAGGTTGTAATGTCTTGCTCTCTTTTTGAGTACTGGTTGACAACTGGGCTAGCAGGTTCATTGCTAAAGACAGAGTAAAAGAACACTAACAGACAACAGCACTGACTTCAGTCTTCATTTGCTCCGTTGGTGTCGTTGCATTGTTTGTACTTTTAAGGACATCCGGACAACATGGCTGGGGACTAAGGGTAAACGTAAATCACACGCACCTTCCAGCCGTGGGCTTCTGCGGCAGCCACGGCCTCGGCCTCCTGGGGGTCCTCGATGACGCGCCCCTTGTTCCCGGTGAAGTCCATGGCCACCCACGGGGAGGACATGGGGTCTCTCGTCTCGGCCGTCCAGGTGTGGTCCCCATAGCGGGACTTCACCTCCTTGTAGTTTTCCCGCAGCTTCTTGCCAAACTGCGCCGGGACAGAACGCAGACGTCAGGGACGGTAGACAGTGTCGACGTAGACCGAAAGCAAGAGCTCGCGGGCAAAAGCAACGCCAGAGTGCAACGACAAATCGAAGTCAAGTTTGAGGGTCTTACGCGTCGAACCAACGAAGGGCATCGAACACACCTCTGTGAAGGACCAAGAATTAATTTCGTCCACCTAGAGGTTTTTTGACGTACAACCAAACACTTGGTTGCACGTTTGCCTTCTCTGTAATAAGTGCAGCGACAAGGGTTGAGCGCTGTTATTGCAGATTGAAATCAGTCCTCCTAAGGCCGGTTCAGAAATTTGCATTTAAGTGTGGCCGACTGCAGCCCTACAATTCCTTTCATTCCACCACAATGCGTTGCGTGGAACTGAAGCGTGGCGGCGCCAGTGTGCGAGTAGCATCCGAACGCTTTCCGGTCCCAAGCTAGCCCGAAGGTTTTGCAGCATCTGCGAGATCAAATCTATGCATTATCTACGAGAAATGGTCTATCGTCAGAATTATCTCGAGCCCACGATAAAAGCACGATGCTCAAAAAATTAGGAAATGTATGCGGACCGGAAGAGGGCCAGGGATACCCAATAGATGGTACTAGAGTGTTATCTCATAATAAACAGTCGCACTGATACAACAGGCTCATTCATTTGATTTACCCGCACCGGCACCAAAGAGTGTAGGGCGTGTACTTCCGGTCGTATCTCAATACACATACTGGAAGTCAGTGGCGTAGCCAGAAAATATTTTTGGGGGGTGCTCCAAGGTACTAGTGCAATCACACACAATTTAAAAAAAAAAAAAAAGGAAGAAATATATATATATGGATATATAATAAAGTAAAATTTCGGGGGGCGTTCTAACACCTGAACACCCCCCCTGGCTAAGAGCCTGCCGGAAGTACACTGCCTTACACTTTTCTGCACCAGTGCAGAAGGTACAGGTACAGGTAAATCGAACGAGCCTAGTAAATAGGTTTCGACGTAGTGCTTGAAAAATACACGGGGCCCAAACACACCTTTGCAAGCCTGAGGGCAATGATCCAGCACTGGCGCTGTTGCTCCGTGTCGCTGCAAAACCACATCAGATCGGAGCTGCCGACGCCACCCACTCGCGTTGGCTGCAAGGAAATAAACAGTTGGCCACCGCTTTAGGGAAAAAAATCGCACAAAAACACTTTTTCAACTGCGAAACCCAACTTTCTGCTCCTAGTGAAACCTGGCAAGATCTGGTGTATGTTTCTGGGTTGGGAAATCTCGACGCAACCTTTTATGCATCGAAGCTCGTACCACGACTTCCGAGGAGAACACCATTGGTTGCCGCTGTGGTCGCCTAAATTCTTACGCCTGCCAATAAGGAGTGCGGTGTCAACTGGGAGGGAGCCCCACTGCGGCAGAGTGACAACATATTCTATGTTAAAATATCCCCTAATGATGCGGGTAAGATAAATAAATAAGTGTGACACAAAAAAAGGCAGGTGTGGGGCACACCACAGTAAATGGAAACGTGAACGAAGGCTACTATATTACTAAGCTTAATACATAATATTCTTTTTGGAAAACGCATTTACTGTCCTTCCTGTTGCCTAAAGCTATAATATATTTCTGAGAGTAATTCCTTCGACAACTCGTCACAGCTGGCCATGAAAGCTACCACTAATGCACTAAGCAAAACCCACCTTGAGGCAAAACTGGAAAGCCGTTGGTCCACTGAGGTTCTTGTCAAAAGGCGCATAGACGTTCCACTGAGAAAGGTCAGCTATCTGCTGCAGCTGCCAGGATTCCTGTAATTAAAACAGCTCATAATCAATTTTCAACCTAACAACAACCAATCGGGAAGAATATCTTGAGGTCTGCCTGCCTATTCAATCCTATACTGCTTTTATGCAAGGGCCCATCTGGTCTCAGTTGTCTACCTAACTTGGTAAGGCTCCATAAGCTACCCATGCACAGTAGCCTGATAAGAAGCAAGGTGAGCAGCAGATTCGACATGTGCAAACGTGTGGAGCATAACCGCCGCAATAAATGCGTCTCGATCCTGCGTTCTTCTTTGTGGAATTAACAAAAGCAGACGAGCTTTGCCGGCGACACAAGAACAGAATGAAAAGCTATGGCGTGCCAGCCTTAACATAAAAATTTCCCGTTTCCATCTGAGCACATAAGAGCAGTGTCTGCAACAAAGAGGCATGGTATGTATGGGCACCAGGAGAAACCCGGGTCTCAAAAAAATTGCCCAACGGTAACAGTAGGTCCGGGAGTCTAATGCAGAGACAACTTTCTAAAAGGGCAAACATTCTCTGGGGATTGTCAATTGCTAGGCTCATATGCAATATGATGCAATGATTCGCCACGTCGATGGTCTGGGTGAAAGTAAAAAGGTGAGCCTCATTCACAAGTAGAGCAACTTCTTTGAGCAACCCTGGTACTGCACATTGTTGAGAGCTTTAACATATGTACCATACTATATATAATTGATGCACAGTTTTTAAACAGACCCGGGTATCTATCGTGTCCACAGACCCGGGGTATCTATCGTGTCCACTGTCCCACCAAACTCGCAGATAGCCATGGTATCACAATCGACAGAAGAATTTCGGCGACTTACGGACAGCAATAACATCCTCATGCGAAAATTATATCTGCGCAGATTGCATTATTGTAGAGAATCATTTTCTCAACTTTGTTTGCTATGTTTCTTACGTAGAACGCTACGAATGGCTGTATGCGTGCTTTGTGGAAAATTAGATGCACGGGTCTTGTAGATAAACGATGTATCTATTACCCGAGTAAATATGTGCTAATGATAAGGCGGCATGCCGACTCTTCGGGGCACATACCTTGAGTCCGGAAGACGTTACGGACAATGCGGTGCCTTCCAGGTGGAACCACGAGCGCTTCCAGGACTGCTTTCCGGGTTCCCGGTACCACAGCAAGCTGTGGACCACAGGACAGTGGTCGCCTTGGCTCAGGAGGTTCTGAGAAAAACAAAAAGTTGGAAGGACACATTACTTGGACTGCTCTCAGATGGGAGTAGAAGGTTAAAAGCACAAAAAAACAACCTGTTTCTTATACAAAAAAAAAAAAAAAAGGCATCTTGATCGAGTTAGGTGGCAAGTTGGACTGAGAATTCAGAAATCTTCACCTCCAGTCACGACGGCAGTGAAAAAATCTCCTTGACCAGCTGCAGCTCGTGTACACTTTCATGTGACTCAAGAATGTTTTACGGTTAATTAACTGGACGTTGCAAAATGCAAGTTTTTGTGTACTATAAAATTGCCACAGTAAGGACACCGCCAGCCATCAAACACACTCATGCTCCGCTTCACTGAGCTCAGGAAAAAAAATATGCATCTGCACAAATTCCATTGCTTGGTTATTAAAAGGGCACTGACACCCCAAGGGTCGTATTTTTTTTTTATTGTCTCAAACGATGCACGTTGTAGTCATAAACACGCAAAAAAAAAAAAAAATGCATCGCAAAAAAAAAAAAAAAAATTTACTACGCGCGCGCGCGCATTTTTATTTTTGGCGCTTTCCTCTCCCGCTTTTCGCCTCCTCGCTTCTCTTGATTCGCGACGTCAAGTATCATGAAATTTAGAAGGTTTGTAGGTGACATTTCTATAACATTTAATAACATCAATTGTAAAACATGTTTCTTAACGCAATTGCGAATGCACTATGGCCCTTCTTTTTGAAATAACAAAAATCAGAGTCCGTTCTGGTGCTGCCTCCTGGATTTGTATCCTCCCACGCAAAACAGGCCCATGACAAAATGCTGTATAAGGGGGTAGGAGGGAGAGGGGGCCCCAGCAAAATGAAAGATTTCGGGGGGGGGGGGGCCGGGCCCCATGGGCCCCCCCCCCCTGGTTACGTGCCTGCGGCAAACAATGTACATACCTGAAGAGTTATCAATCTTGCAATGTCCGTTGACTCCGCTATGCAGTCCAGCTGAGATCCTAGATCCACCATGTCCAGCGAGAAAAATTGCTGAAAAAGAAAATCGAAATGGAAAGAAAAAAAGAAAAGAGAATGAAGAGGGGTTCATTCCACCGCTTGCACGTGTACAGCAGATCAGAGAGAGGCCCTCCCAGGTACAACCATTGTGAACCGGCCAACAATGGGTCTTCAATCTCCCTTTTCAGTCTCTCTAACAATGACTCTTTCCGGTCACCGTACAAAAAAGAATGGAAGGGGACAGTTTCAATAAAAAGACATTCCCCCCTTATTGCGAAGATTTCTACCTGAGAAGAATACAAGAGCTTTGATGGCAAAAGCTTTTTTTCCACTTTGGGTGGCAACAGGACTTTTGCCTCGTCTGCAGCATTTTCAATTGACTGCAATTTCTTGCCCAAAGTAAGGCTTATTTAACTACATTTAAAATAATAAGACGACTGCAAAACCTAAAAACAAAATGACTAGAAATTTAAATTGACAAAATCAAATAAAGAAAAAGGATTATGCAACTGACAGGGAGTGGTGGTAGGATCATATTTCTCAAGCAAGACTAAAAATTTTATACAATTATATTCTTTGCGTGTTGCATAACAACTCCTAGAATTAAAGGGACAATGAAGACGATTTTATTTAATTTTTTTAAATGGTGTTTGAATGCTTCTTGGGAACATAGCATGCCGCCCAATTTTTTGTAGACATTTATGACGCGTATTTATGTGCCGACGAAAGAAGTAAAGAAACCGAAACTGAACCATCTCCAGTCTCGTTTCTGGGCCTCCGAAAACGGAGGTGACGTAGGGAGTGACGTCAAGTGTGAATAGTCGGTATCGGTAGTATTTAGGAGATCGAGACTCTGGTTACCGCGGTGGGTTATAGCAGCGCGGTGGCGCGGGCGCTGCGCCGACTCTGTCAACATGGACGAATGCCGCTCTCGCGAGCGAGTTCGAGCTTCCGTTCAGTGACCGAACACCAACGGAACGGGAGTATGTGTGTGGCGGCCACTGCCATCACCCGACGGAGACCGCCCAGCCGGCAACGAGCGGCCCGCATGCCGAAGGGCGGACGCGGGGGAGATGCCGAAGGGAAAGCGGCAGCGATCCCGCCGTTCTGGGATCCGGTTCTTCCGCGGACGTCCTCTTTTTGTCGTCGAAGAACACGAACAGCTACCCACACGTGAAAACTAGCATTGCCCGAACGAATACTGGTCTTCAGTCGACCGTTAGAACAGCCATCTACAGCTACCATTGCAAAATCTTTCGAGTACCGTGTTCTTTTTTAATTTTATTTCGTTGGCTCATAGTTGTTCGTTGCCGGTTTCGCGTCCAGCGTAGCAAAGAAAAAAAACAATGATGCTGCTTTATTTATGGTTTAGTAATCATTTCCGATCCGATTTATACTTTTGATGGTTATTCAAGTGGAAATTAGAACAGTATTTCTAAAAATTGCGAACTAAAACGTGACCGAGGCAACGAGGTAGGACCGAGGGCACGTTTCTCGTTTCGACCAATCGCTAACGCGTCTCTTGTGACGTCGCGCTCCTTGGCCCCGCATCGGTCACGTGAGCTCCGCTTCTCCTGGCTTCTCCCGCAACTCTCGGGGCGTCGCCCCAGTCGATTCCGGTATGATTATTACCGCGACTGTTTAATTGATTTGCGCGGCACACAAGCGCCAGTTTTGGCTGAAATTTGGGCAACGTGGCCTGAGACGTGCCTGGAACCCAGTTCAATCGCGAAAAAGATCTCCGAAATTGCCTTCATTGTCCCTTTAAGTATAGCCAGAGCCGTACAGGAACAGTTTTATACCAAACCTGACCTCTGTAAGGCTGAGGCCACTGAATGAAATTGTAATTAGGAGTTTCACATGGGACGTTGAAAGCTTCTGGATGATACTCTGCTTCACCATAAAGGCGAGTGAAGCCAACACTACAAGCGTGAGGATGTTGCTTTGAGCCACACTTGGGAGTTCGAAAGCAGCCATGTGTGGCAGGCATTGCATTTGGTCTTAAAGCTTCTCCTTCACATGCACGTGTGGTAAAGCGAGGTATATTCAAGAAGTTGGGAAACTACAGAGTTTCACCAACTGGTTTTGTTGTTAACCACATCTGACCAATAAAAAAAAAAAGAAGCTATGCCTTTCGCTTGATTGGCTTCTTTCTATAAACAGAGAAAAAAAAATTCAGTTGAGCCACCAAAGTATTGCAAGGGTGCGTAAAAGGTGCTAAGTCTTAAAGGAAAGTCAAATTTGAAGAGCTGCAAGAGTTTGGATGCAGGCCCCTAAAAAGTTTTATGTGTAATGCTTTGTTTCTCCAACCTCACTTGTAGAATGTATGTAATCAATAATGAAAATTTCATCCTTTCCTCTGTCGTCCGCTGCATGCCGAGCACCGGACACGAAGAGAGCAGAAGAGGAAAATATGAAAGTGACGTCATTGTGGTGTCAGTCAGTGTTTCAGCCAACTTTCAAGCTGGAACAGGGATAGATGTCAACAATGATGCTGCAACAGATTTGACCAATCAAAAAAGGCAGAGCACAAAATTTCTACATTTATGGGGTCAGAACGAGCATTAAACAAAGAACCTATAGTCCTGAATATAGCAAAACAAATCGAATATATATAAAATCTGCACATAACCGTGACTTACGATTGAATTACACAGATGCTGTCACATGCTTCGTCTGCCCGAGGCCCCTTAAAACCTCTATCTAGCGTGCCCTAGATCTGGAAGTTTCACACGATGCCTTAATTCTATCATCCTCTAACAAAATATGACGGCAGTTAAAGCTGGAACAGCCTGAGGAGGAACACCGTGGAAATGTCAGGCTACATTTCGCCAAGAAGCCTCGCTTCTTCGAGCTAAGACATTGCACTAAAAAGGTGTCCATCCACCGTTCCTCACCACTGATCCACGAGATGAAGACATGGTGCAAAACACCAAAGAACTGTTTCACCAACCTCAGTCTCCCGACATTTTCGAGATCCCACATATGTTTCAGACACGTGCGGTGCTTTCAACGTGACTTTAGACTCACCAGGGGAGAGTTGAAGAACTCATATTTCCTGAAGTCCTGACGAAAGTAAAAACGGTTGCCGCCCTTCTCCTTATTCCTGCCCCAAGACGCATAGACCTGCAGAACCTCCTCGTGATCTTCCAGGCTGCGTTCTGCGAGAGAGAGGAGGGGAGCGTTAGCATCTACAGTTATGCAGTAGAGTTTGCAAAACAGACCTAGTAAATTGTGTTGTGTTTTGTATGGGTTCTGGAGGTAAAAGAGAGGGCAATTAAAAAGACGAGTGAATAGACAAGTCAATCACATGTTAACCCTAAAATCTGTTTTGGATCAGGTGTCTCCTATTAAGGGCATAATAAATACTAAAGAAATTTTCTACAAAAGCCAGATATGTACGAAAGTGTGACTCCGAGATATATACAAGGCTGCGAAAAGCCCAACAGCAAAAGGCCGTAGTACCAACATATCACCCAAACTGCTTTTGTAGCAGCAAAATCGTCGTTGGGCCAATTTTACTGCATGCAAATCGAAGGCTAGACTTTATATGAACGGTACAAAACGATCTTCTCGATATCAGATTATTCTCGAGCAAACATATTTCTCGGTACAGCTGTATCAAACCAGCTGCTTAATTGTTAAAATAAGCTCAGAAAGATAGCATAGATGAAAGAACTATAAACACATTAACCTCTTTTATGAACACCTATTTAAGCAAACTTCCGACAACAGTCATGAGGCACAAACTTTTTTTCCATGGGATTTGATTTTTGGGAAAACTAGAAAGTTCTAAGACATCGGTAGGGGGAGGTCTTCTCAGATTGCACACCCAGTCTCTTAGTAAGGATCGAAATCGCCGGCTCGGTTCCATAAAATCCAGCTGTGCCAACTCATTCTCAATCAAAAAATGCTTCAACACACCTGGGATTTAACAGAAATGCAGGCATGGCATTTGAATGTCAAAGGGTTCTTATCCTTCCTTCGCAAGAATTTAGCTCGCACCAAAGCCTAGCCAACAAGAAAATGCTACTCGATGAAGGTCTGAACTGCCACTATTTTTCCCCGAGACCACAAAGCATGTTGCACAGATGCTTGTAAAGTTATCTGCATAAAAAAAAAAAAAAATAATAATAATTTTTTTATAGTTTTGGGTTGGAAAGGGCAGCTGGAAACCCAAGTTTGCCTCATAAGCAGCTGCACTCTGCTGCCCCGCCCTGCCCTCCCTTTCCCTCCATTCTCGAAGGACTGAAATTTTTAGCCTTCTTTTGCTTTGTCATACCAGCAAAAGTTTCCTTCACTTGCAGGCTATGCATGCACCTGTGCCAACATGCCTTCCAGGAGATACCCTTTTTGTCTGTCCATACATTCTGCAATAGGGGGGCCTGCCATTGTGAAGGGAATCGCGGTTCTTCAAACCTGAGCAGCTGTTGGTTGCTGCAATGGTCACGCTATTCGCACATCTCAAATTCAAATGCGGTAGCTCTTTCCGCAGCTGCTGGGTAGGGTTTGCAATTGCAACACCATCCCCGATTGTTGCGATGTCCAGGGACAGGTGCCCAGCAAGTGCACTATGTAAAAACAAAGGGTAGAATTACCACCAGGTTGGTGGTAATTCTAGCGGGGAACACAATCCAAGAGGGAAACCCAGCAAGAAGTCAGAAGTGTTGGAAATATTGAGCATCTGACATGCATTGATCGAAAATATCTTGCCATGTCTGACTATGTTTGTGAAATGCTAATTTGCAAGTTCCCGTCTCTCTATTCGATAGATAAAAGACAACGGTGGTCAGCAATCTGCAAAGGTCATAGTGTTCATATTTTATTCGAGATCCTTCCCCATCTTTCAAGCTATCGATGTTTCTGGCGAATTAACCCTACAGTCCTTGCACTTACGAGTGAACAATGTGGAAGAAAAGACTGCCTTTAGTCGTTCCTCTTTACATATGTGCTCTCCAATACCAAAAAAAATTAACACTCTAAAAGTTGTGTGCCAAGATAGACTTTCTAGTCACCTAGAGAAGAAAATGCCTCTGTATAGAGAGAGTAAGGAATGCATGTAGTTAGAAGAAAAGGTATCAGGTCAGCTCTCAAAATGTTTTTGATGTCATGCCAGGAAATACCTGTCCACAAAAAGCTAGGCATTACACTCAAGTTAGCTGCGTGTTGGTGCCTTTCCGTGCCAGTGCTTGGTCGACAGCCAAATACTAGTATGTATGAAAAGAAAATGTGTGTCTGCTGCCACCCTTCACTGCTTCCAGTGCAGCAGTAGGGCTGGTGCTTAACGGCAGATTTACACTTAGCGCGTTCCAGTTTAGCCCACCTCCTTCTTTAATATATCCTTTCCACTTTTTATCTTGCCCCAACTTGACTCTCCTCGCAGCTTAGAAGGATCATCTTCCCTGCAGAAAACAGAGGTTGCATGATGACCTTTAAGAGGCTGACAATCTATATTAGGTTTATGAAGTTGCATTGTTGAATTCATACATCAATAATCTTTTAAAATGGGCATATGGACACTATTCTTTACTTCTGTTTAACCCCTCCAACATTGCAAGCAACCATCGGGAAGGCCATTTTTTATTTTTCGCTCTTTCAATCGTTATTTTACCCTTGATTTAAAGTGAACCTCGACATCAGCCATCTTTGCTACTGTAGACTTCCTGATTTAATCAAAGAAAAACAGCAGCCACAGACAAGAACATTTCTGTATGGCCCATATGTGGGAGAGTTGTGCCTGTAAGTCTTCCACGTTTGGCTCTGGCACACTAACCAGACATTGTTTATTGTCTGGTAAGCAACATCTCCAATTTCAGCAATGTTTGAAAACAGATAGATGACTTTTTCGCCTCAAAGCCGGCACACACGACTATTGTAGGATTCATTTGCAGCCTAAACATAGGCACAATGTTAGAAAAATATAGTATTCTGAATCGTACAATTTTGTTGTTACCTACTTTTATGCAAGTTTGAATGTGTCTTGTAAACCTAACAAATTTATGCATCCAATCTCCTTTCCAGGAGGGCCTATTAACACGGAAAATAATTATAATCCTGTTTCACAGCTGTCCAAAATATTTTCAGTTGGCTGCAACCACAGAAAAGAACTTTGACACGCAACAAGTGCTCCCAGACTTAATTCCGTATGGGTATATAGTATAAAGAACTTTGTTTCATTTGAGAGGCAAAAATAATCCGTCATTCACACCACCCTGAAGTTTTGACCCACCCAATCTAAACACATCTTTGAAATACCCAAGCTTTACTCTTTCTGGCACGCTATTGACTATCTCTCAATTCAAAACAGCTTTTGAGAATTTGAGAAAGGGGCGAAAAAGGTGATGCCAAAGCCAACATTCCATTTTTCCCGCACTTTCTCGTGGTGTGTCGTCACATGTTGTGTAACTTGGAAGTTAAGAAGGCAGTCTAAAAAATGCAATATTTTGCCAATGTTTTTGTTGTTGTTTTTTTGGCTGGCATAAACATAATTAGCATTCATTTTACACCATCAAACTTCTTGTAACCCTCCGGAAACAAGCTGTAATGCCCTCATATTAGATCGGATGGATGGATACTAACTAATAATAATGGCTGTACCCTTTATAGTAGGAGGTAGTTTGCGCCACCTAGTCTGAAGTCAGGATTGCAGTGTTACCGGTAGAGCCTCTCAGACCAAATTGGAAACTTCAATAATTTGGAGAAAACAAAATTATTTTGACTTGCAATTTTGGGTATTGGTTTATATGTCTTTTAATGTGTTGAACCAATTTTGAAGCAAATCAGTGACTTTCAAAATTTTGAGGATCAGAAATGGTACACAGCTGGGTCAAAGCACCCATTACAAACAGCAGTAGGGAAAAAAAAACATAAAATGAACTTACAAAAAAAAAAATGGTATGAGCTGTAAAAAATTGTGTAGCACTTTTCAAACCCATAGTAAGCAAAAAAAAAAAAAAAAAAAGGTTAGACCGCGACAGTTTTGATTGCTGTAATAAAAGCGATAAAACAAAATTTCACTACCGTTGTCGCTTTAGAATCTTTATGGCATGAGTGATAACCGACTAGGGACCGCATATGGTCGAACACAAAAAAAAAAACTAAAGCAGCTCGGAGCCGAGCAGTCTGGCACTCCTCTTTTTATGACTCACTGGTGAACAAGACATACGCCTGTCGCTTCCATGACTCTACATCAATTCCTCTCAACTTCCACAATACTAACTGCGTCAACACAAAAATCAATAAAACAGTTTTATTTATGTTTTTTTAAAGGAACTGAGGAGCAGGAACTTTTACTTGGATGCAATAAACGGAGAATAGATAATATCTGTATAAATACCCCCCCCCCCCTTTTTTTTCCTTCCCGGGGGGGGGGGGGGGGGGAGAATTGAAGCAATATATATATATATATATATATATATATATATGTATTAGACGTGGAGAAACATATATCAACAAATGTACCCGAGGTAGAAACGGGCAGATCTGTGAAATCGTAACTGAACGTGCTAAATTGCACGCACTCAAAGCGGGTAGCAGACGACGAACCGAGCGCAACAAGCAGACGACAAGCCGCGCGCAACAGCAGACAAAAAAAAAAAAAAAAAAAATCTTTCGAGCGCAGCAGACGACGACACGCGAGATGTGTTTCAAATATATGAATCCCAGTTACTCCAACGGGTTACCTCACATGACAACATAAGGAGAGCAACGTTAAACGCAGGTAGGTTTTTGGAAAGCCAAGGTAGAAAACCTTTACCTTGGAGTGAGATCGCAGCAACCGCTGCAACTGCAGCCTCTCATCCCACGACAGCAACGTAGCAAGCACGTTTCTTGTCGCGCTAGCGACGCAACGCGATAGCGCAACACTCGCACCGCTCGGATGGATAAAGCAGTTTCTGACTCACCGATCCTGAGCTCGGCGAGCCTCTCGACGAGTGTCCAAGTCGGCGACCGCGCCACGTTCAGCCGCAGCGTGAGCAAATGACACAAGTCGATGCAGCGCAGATTCTCTTCTACGACCAGCCGCTGGCTGCCGCCGTCCGCCAGGTGGAACGTCAACGCCGCCTGTCGGAACGCGCGAAGAACAGAGTTTCAGAGCGGGCACTTTCCCCTCTCTACTCGCGTCTACTCCCACACAAAGCGCGTCGAGCTTCGCGCGCGCGCACAGTCGCACGCACACTCGCAGACGGCGGCCGATTTCGCAGCAACCGCTTGTTGCTGAGGGGACGGTTCAGTGCCTTCGTCGCAGTCCGCGAATCGCCATTGGTCGAGAGCGGGGAAAGGAAAAAGGTGGCTCGGACGGATTGCACAAAGACGCCGTGTGATTCCGTGTGCAGCTAGCTCTCTCTCTCTACCCCGTTTAATCATCCAAAGAGGCTGTGATCGGGTGAAACGTTATTTAAAGCGCGCCGCAATCTAGGTAATTAGGTTTCTTTTTCTTTACTCTTTCTTTTTATCGCGTTCGGTTGACGGGAGTTTGTAATTAGCCGATCTCGTTGCGTGTTCCAACTGCCGAAGCAGTACCAGGGATTAGATTAGGACGAAGACGCAGAAACTTTATTTTCAAAATATAAGCATAAGGAAAATCTAGCGTACTCGGAATACCAATAACAAGAATAACACAGCGCGCGGGGTTTAAATACCAATACTATAAAACGAGTGACGTGGACGATTGATAACAAAGCTATTTGCTAACTTCGCGATTTTTTTTTTACTCAATGTTGGAGCAAAATAAATGTGATATTGAAGTAATACAAAACTGCATAGTTAAAAAGCCGCCATTGATAGGATTCGCTCATTATTGGTGAAACACGGTCCAGAAATGGTAGTTCTATTGTACCATTTAAAAAAAATCAATAAGATCACGCAGGAGAAACCACTTCGTTGCAGAAAAAATTCCACAATAACGCTCATTCATTCATTTATAAGCCATTTTGGTTGGGGTGGCAGGGAAAAAAGGTGAAAAAATTCACCAGACCAGGGTCCCACGCCCCATACAAATTTCAATGCAACACAGCAAAAAAAAAAAAAAAAAAAAAAGTGTATATTTATATATATAAATAAAATAAAAACAAAGCACAACGAAGTGTGCTCAACAAACAACCGCTCACACACACACACACACAAACAACACAATGCTATCCAAAACAAAAATACCTGAAGAAAAATAGACATTTCTACGCAAGGTTTTACACGTTTTCGATGATAAAGTTCTGCATTTTTTCTTAAAACTATTGAGAGACGTTGCTATTTCTGCCCTATCCAAAATTTGTGGATACCTATTGAGAAGTTGTGCAATTTGCTGTGTTAAAGTTTGATCTCCATGGTTGTGCGTGTCCTCTCTCTAACATGTATTACACGTCTTAAGTTGTAGGGAGTGTCTTTTAAAGGAAAATGTATAAAAAAAAATCCCTGCTGTTTATGAAATAATCATAAATAACTTTTGTAAGGTTGAATGGGAACGTCGTACAATTCCCCATATGCCAAGCCTATAAGAAAGTTTTCATCGATAATAAATGAATCATGCGTTTGAGTTCACTCTTGGTGATTTTCTGTTAGCGACGTATTTCGTCCGGAACGGCTCATAAATAATGGAGAGCAGATTAGCAAAATCGTTCGTGCTACTCGGTGCCATCCGCAGGGCGGCTTGACTGTTTAAACTGGATCAATAATCATTTCTGTCGCCCTGTTTCGCTTTTCGATGGCGACACCAAGTACGTTACTACGACGCCGTCCTCCCTCGCCCACTCCGCTCACCCTCCTCCTCACTTTCCTATGACGACATCAAATGCTGCGATGACGTCACAGTCTTTGCGAACCCCCGGCCACTCGCGGATGACGTCATCACTTCATGCGCGCTCGCGCGTGTCAAAGGAACGACGGCGTCGAACCCAAAACCGCCATTTTCTCCCTCCTGTAACAAAAAACTTCTTTCAAGTCAAACGGACAAAAAAAAAAAAAAAAAAAAAAAAAAAAAAAAAAACTGAACACGTAGTCATATTAACTGATGCCTGCATGCGTTCCCTCATCTCGGATGTGTTAGTTCCAGCCGAGTAAAGCTCGCGGACCCACTTTCATGGGTTCATGTTTTAGGCAACGCGCTTATTGCTGTAGCGCCATAACCAATAATCAGCTTTTTTTATGGGCTACGAAACGTGATCCATAAAAAAAAAAAAAGAAAGAGAGAGACAAAGTTGTAAGTTGCGCCGAGGGCTAAAACGTTCTCAGAACTATCTACCGCGAATCACGTATAGGCATAAAGAGAGCGACAGAGCACGAACAAGCGAATGCTCGTAACCGGCGCGACACCTCGAGCTGCTTGGCCAGAGAAATTCGGGGTTCGTCGCTATCCTTTGACGCGTGAAAATGCGAAAATACATCGGCAACGCCACATGTTCGCGCTAACTGCGGCGTGATCTGTATACGCCGAGATAGACCAAGTCGGCCAAGAATCCTTTGAAAACTGAAATATTTCCTGTCTCGTTCCGATCACTAGAATTTCAGACAACTGCGTTTCTCCGACAAATACAAACCAAACTACTACTACTACAAAAAAAAAAGAAAAGAAAAAGAATTATGTATATTTATATATTTTTGCGAGAACATATGATCTCCCACACTTGCCATTTCCGTGGCAAGTTTAAATTTAAAGTTCATATCCTCTCTCTGAAGGGAAAATCAGAAAAAAGACAAAAAAAGAAAAGAAAAATAATAATCAGCATGTATCTGTTCGACTACTAGATCCTCGCCTTTCCTTTGCAGTCGCAGAAAAGCGGCTCATCACTTACGTCGTGCTGCTGCGGTGGCGCTGCCGTCGGCACGGCGCATGCGCAGACGATGCACCTCTTGCGAATCTGTTCTTTGCGCACGCGTGGCTTTCTCTCTGACTTGTGTACGATACTCATTAGAGGTAATCGAATCACTCGTTGTCGGTTATTTTCCGAGTAATTTCGTAATGATTTGAATGCATTGATTAGCAAGTAATCGCAAGAATGATCTATTACTTTTAGAGGTATTAAAATTACTCGTAACCGTTACTATTTTTTCCCCCTCCCCTTTCTAATGGCACCCTTTGTTTCTCTGCAAGTTTCCTACTGAGGAACCCTCGACCCAAGTCTCCAACAGGAGGATTTTGGGGGATCGGGATAAAGTTTAGAATTATGATTAAGTCGGTGATCCTAATCCAATGATGGGCAGTGCGAAAAACCCGACTTCAAAACGGCAGAAAAAAAAAAAAAAAAAATGACACCTTGAAAATCTGATGTAATCGGAAAAGTTACGGTTACTTTTTTCAAATAACGGCCAATTACTTTACTTCTCAAGTAATCAAGTATTCTGATTGAATACTTTTTTTAAAAGAGAATACCTGTAACTGTAATCGAATTTTTTTATTATTATTTTTTATTTTTTTTTTTTTGCGGGTAACGTGTTGAAGACGTTTTTGATGGTTCCTACCCGTGACGTCACAACCAAGGCTATCGACTGCCAGAGACGATTTCGACGGAGCGTCTAAAAAGCACGGTGGAAGCTCGTAGTGATCGCCGTGGAAGTCGACAGTTCGACATTCCTCTTAGTTCCGTTCATGAAGAGAGAATTTCGTCATACTCGGGACGACCATATAGTGAGCGTTTGACCAATCGTGGCAGGCCGACCACAGCGACGCTTTTTTTGGTCGCACCCCGTCACCAATACTACACAAACAACGCAACGAATGGTCAATCTGTACAAGATGGACGGTTTTGAACGCGACAATTTGCTCTAAACCTCATCCGCTCTCTCTATCGCGACAAACAGATCGCCCTGCCTTCCACGCGACGCGATCGGTCGGAGTCTTGCGCGCATCCATCATCTTTCGGTCGATTGATCGCCTTTCAAGTGCCCAGCCGTTCCCCGCTTGGCACGTTGGCACGCAGATCGCGTGCCAACGTCCGAATGAGGGCGGGGGAAAAAAAAAAGAAAGAAAGGATGGGGAGGGGGGGGGGGGGGGGGGCTCGCAAACAATCAGCAACACGGTAGTTTCCAGAACAAAGAAAATTTCACGCGTCGCACCGACCGTAGGTCGTGTAAATTAGCGAGTTTTCAAATAACAACGATAGGCAATCTATAACGATACTTCGCGCACGCACCGTGCGCTTTTTAGAAGGTCACGTGACCACCCACACAGCGCTGGAACGGCTTCGATGGCTCGTAGCTTCCTCTTCGGTCCATCGGAAGGGGAAATGAGGTGCACTTTATTGTATCCTACGCGTGACCAGCTGCAATTTAGCGACGCAGAATAGACCCTTTCAGGCAACATTTCATGGGCGCCGCCATCTTGACGTCACGTGACCCTGCCGCCATAGCCGCCCTTCAGTTTCTCGCCATTCCTCCGCGTTGTGTGCTGCACCGGCGACTACCGGAGCTTTGTTTTCGCGTTATTTTACGTTCCACGTTGAAATAGTGTGTTTTCTTTAGGTCTTTTGGATATTTTAGGGTTTAATTTAATCATTTGATATCTATATTTCAAGAAAGTTCTTGTATTTTCTTATTTATGAAATGGAATCGGACAGCGAATGGATCGACGGTACAAGATTATGAAATTTCAATGAACATGTAAGTTCATCCCCTTCTAACGTTTTTCTCGCTAATAAAGATCAGTCAACACCATTGCGACATATGCAAATTTCAACTGACGCAGTAAGGCTATCGCAGTCGTGCTTCTCGCTGCATGTGCGCGCTCGTTTCTGTAAAGCCGACCCGCATGCTAGCGATTTAGCGTGCGACGAGACGAGCGACGGCGACAACGACGAGAGTCAGCGACGAAGATTTCTCACTGTCGCCTGTTGGATCGTTCGGTTTTTTGGGTTTCTAGAAAACGTCGCTCACCGTCTTGGTCGCTTGCTCCTGTCGCTTCCATGCGGTTTGCCTCATCGCGCGACTGCCCGAGCGACAGCGACGCGGGTCACCGTCGCTTGTCTCGTTGCTCGCCGAATCGCTTGCATGCGGTTTATATTTAATATCGAGGCTCCAATGGTTCAATGGTGTGTGCATCGAAATTAATTGAGTATAAACCGCATGTAAGCGAT